CGTGCGTGCGTGCGTGCGTGTGTGTGTCCTGGAATACAGTGTACATGAAAGACAAGGGTAGTAAACAGACTTCCCAGAGAATCAAATTAGACAATTTGTAACTCTGTCCTAAGACACAGGCTAGCTCTGCAAATCTTACACAGGATGCAGGGACGGTGTGCGCCAAGTTCTCTTACTCAATATATGTTGTGGGAATCTATTCACTAGTAAACACCTACAACAGTACAGTAGCTTCCATCTGCTGGCCATCATAATGGAGCCATCTGGCCCAGAGGAAAGTGATGAAGAGGAATCTGTGGTTTTGGCAATGCTTTAGCACAGTAGGAACACAGGGCAGGAAGACAGCAGGCCAGAGTCACCAGGAAGAGCACCTCAGAAACTCTTTGATGACTGACATCATTGGGTGATAAAGATTCCATACAGGCTGACAAAGGAAGTATTTCAGAATGTCCTTATACTGCATCTGAGAGGTTCACTGAGAAACAGAATCATCTGCAATCATCACTGGATATTTTTCAAGTCTATTCTAATTTTGGATGGTGAATGTTATTAATAATTAACTTGAGAAAGTTAACTTTCTTCAGTTTTCTAAAACATCCCAAATGACTATATATAAGTCCTGCTCAACCTTCACAAAACATAATGTAAGTTGATTTTTAAAAATAGAATTACTGAAAAGGCCTTTTTTTTGCTCCCTCCTTTTCTTAGCAAATCACCAAAAAGTTTCTATAAATAAAAATCTGAATCAAGTACAATCAAGGCCGTGCCAAGGGAAACAGTTAAATCATAAAAAGACCAAAGCCAGGAAGGCAAGGCAGCTGTGGAAAAGGCTGAGGGTTCTGGGTTCCTGATTTACTGTCCCTTGGGGCACAAGCCATGCCCAGGGCTGCTCAGGCACCAGGGGGAAGGAAGAAAACAGAGGAACTGACTTGCAAAGCCATAATCAGAACAGTGTGGTAGAAAAGCATCAGCCAACAGCAGATGCTTGACAGGAAGACTTCTAAGGATGTTAGATATTTGGTCGGCCATGGAGCATGATAAACGAGGAGAGCAATCACTGGAGGATGTGCTGTTACTTTAGGCAATTAAAGAGCAATAGCAGCCATTCTTTGTTGGGCTGTTATCACAATTATGGTTGCCAGAATGTACTAGCACTCCGTTCTAAATCGACAAAGTCATTTGGATTTCTCACTGAGGCAATTAGTTTCACTACATGATACTTTTTCTTAATGGTGATAAATCTATGTCATTCCTTTTAGATGGGTCAGAGGCTCCCCCGCCCCTTTCTTCATTTAACACATGCACAAATAGAGACACAAAAAGCTGTAATTTTAAGTCCCAGTGCTATTTGGAACTACCGACGAGGATAACAGACTCAAAGATTTTTTTTAACTGGAATCCATTTTCAATCAAAACCCCATTCATCTACAAAAACCCGAGGGAATATTAGAATTGCTCATGTAACTCAGAAAGGTACTATGTCTGCTTCAAGGTAATTAGAAGGAAATTTCAACCAGAGCTCAGAAAGTTGGGTGGGATAATGCAGCCATAATATTCAATATACATAGGTGAAAACGGAAGCAGGTAAGTTGAGGGGAGGGGTGGGGTGGAGAGAGAGGGGGGAGAATGGTAGAAAAGGTGGCACTGATCAAGATGCATTGTATTCACAAACTGACGTGCTGAAACTCTTTTGTACAACTATTTAAGGATAAAAGAAAGTAATTTAAAAAAGAACTCAAACTTGTCATTCAGAAACTCAAGCTGTGTGCTAGTGGCTAATGCCTGTAATCCTAGCTACTCAGGAGGCTGAGATCTGAGGATTGTGGTCCAAAGCCAGTCTGGGCAGAAAAGACCCTGTGAGACTCTTATCTCCAATTAACCACTCAAAAGCCAGAAGCAGTGCTGTGGCTCAAGTGGTAGAGCAGTAGCTTTGAGCACAGAGGTTCAGAGACAGTGCCCAGGCCTGAGTTTGAGCTCTGGGAC